TTTTGGTTTTCTGACTCCAGATTTTTGCATATTTTTTTGTAATATTTGGCTTTATCTTCTCGAGCTGATCTTTGAAATTTTCTGTTCAGCTCTTAGACCTCCTCATTTCTTCCATTTGCTTAACATCTCTACACTGGAGAGCAAGTTTCAGTGTCTCTTCTGACATCTATTTTGACCTTTTTCTTCTTTTTTGTCTTCTTAATAACTTTGTGCTTTCTTCCTGTATGATGCTCTTGATGTCATCCCACAACTCTTCTGGTCTTCTGTCTTTAGAGTTTAATGTATCAAATCTTTTCTTCAGATGATCTCTAAATTCAGATGGGATATAGTCAAGGTCATGTTTTGGCTCTCCTGGACTTGTTTTCATTTTCTTCAGCATCAGTTTGAATTTGCATATAAGCAATTGATGGTCTGTTTCACAGTCTGCCTCTGGCTTTGTTTTCACTGATGATATGGAGCTTTTCCATCGTCTCTTTCTACAGATGTAATCAATTTGATTTCTATGTACTCAATCTGGTGAGGTCCATGTGTATAGTCATCGCTTATGCTGTCTAAAGAAAGTATTTGAAATGAACAAATCATTGATTTTCCAGAATTCTATCATGCGATCTCCAGCATCATTTCTATCACCAAGGTCATATTTTCCAACTATTATTCCTTCCTCTTTGCTCCCAACCTTTGCATTCCAATCACTGGTAATGATCAATACATCTTGATTGCATGTTTGATCAATTTCAGACTGAAGAAGTTAATAGATTCTTCTATTTCATCTTCACTGGCTTTAGTGGTTGGTGCATAAATTTAAATAATAGTGGTATTAACTCGGCTTCCCTGTAGGCTCATAGATACTATCCTATCACAGACAGTGTTGTACCTCATGACTGATCTGGATATGTTCTTTTTAACAATGAATGCAACACCATTCTTCTTCAATTTGTCATTCCTGGCATAGTCAATCATGTGGTTGTCAGATTCAAAATGGCCAATACCAGTTCATTTCAGCTCACTAATGCCTAAGATATTGATGTTTATGCATTCCATTTCATTTTTGACAACTTCTAGTTTTCCCAGATTCACACTTTGTACATTCCATGTTCCGATTTTCAGTGGATGTTTACAGCTGTTTCTCTTCATTTTGAGTTGTGCTCCATTAGCAAATGAAGGTCCAAGGGGCTTTCTCCCATGGGCTTTACTCCATTTGCGTCATCATGGTCAACTATACTTTGAGGAGGCAGCTCTTCCCCAGTCTCATTTTGAGTGCCTTCCAACTTACAGGGGTCATTTTCTGGCACTATATCTGACAGTGTTTCTCTGCTATTGATAAGGTTTCCAGTGACTAAATATTTGGAAGTAGTTCATCATTCTTTCTGCCTAGTCTGTCTTTGTCTGGAAGCTCACCTGAAACCTGTCCACCGTCAGTGACCCTGCTGGTATTTAAAATGCCAGTGGAATAGCTTTCAGAATCATAGCAACTCACAAGCCACCAAACTAGGGCAAACTGACAGACTAGTGGTGGTCGTTTGGTTTTAAGTGGAAACTGTCACTTTAAATTTCGAGAAGATCTGTGCGCATGCATAGTAAAACCCTCCAGTGGGTGGGGTGGGATGTTCAGGCATCCCCTCTAGTCACCAGAATAGAGATGCACAGACAGCGAGAGACCAATGAGCAGATACCAAAAAAAGAATGTCCATGGTTCTGTCAGACATTTGTGGCTGTTCTGATCCTTCCCCTGCTTTGTCTCTCCCATGATGGTGGCTCCAGGAGCAGCTGAGCATCTTGAATTAGGAAGCAATGGATTTCTTGATTCTGCTACAAATTCCCCTAGCTGTAAGCCTTCCAAGCTTCTAAATATTCCTTTATATGTGGTTCAGAGTTCTACCCTATCCCCTGAGCCTGCTTGGTCAGGTATTCTGTGTTGTTGCTGATAGAGCTCCTCACTGCACGTCTGGGCTATTATGGCAAGATATTGAGAGGAAATTAAAGATAGTGTCCATCTGGGTGAGCATCACAGGAAATTGGGAGGTGATTGAAGATACCATCCATTGCTTGGCCTCCAGGGGGTTGTCTATGGCCACTTGGCAGAGTTTAGGGAATTGCTCATCAGTGCAACGGGCTATTGTCCATTTCTGAAAACCAAATTCAGGGAAATAGGCTGGGCTCATACAAGATGTTAAACACTGCAGCTGAATCCTTTCAGTCCTTCCATCTAGTTTTTAAGTTGTTATTCTCCGTGAAATGACCTGTAGCTGGGGAATATAGGGCAGTGCTCTCATTTTTCAGGAATGGCTAAATCCTTGTATAGAGCTGGGATTTAAATTTTAGCTCATACAGTGGGATGGTTTGCATGGAACATTGAGCTTAACATGCTTGGATATAAGTATAAGAATCCACCAAAGAATGACATCAGGTTGGAGACTATGTCGCTGGCAGCCTTGAAGAATGGAATGGGGAAATGTACATGGTCAGCATATCAGAATATATAAAGATGAAATCCACTAAATAGAGAATAAGATACTGTATCCAACATATTTTTTTTTAAGAATCAGAAAGGATTCCTTAATAAGAAATCAATAGGCTTGAGTATCATTTGGGAGATCAACTGGAGTCAGGAAAGGCGGTTGTCACATGCTGGGGTAAGCTGAGATAAAACTTCAGTGGAGTCCTAAAAGGTTGAGGAAATTGAAGCTTGACTCCAATACACATTATCTCTATAAAAAAAGAAACACTTTATACTTCTTAATTGGGAGTGGTGAATGTGTTTATGGTCTTCCTGTATCTCTTTGCAGATTACCTATTTATTGCTGAATATTTGTTTTTTTAGTATTTTATACTCAATAAACCTCAGAATTTGCACAGATAAAGATTCTCTTTTGGGGGATTCAATCATGTAATCATGCATCCAGCTACCTCTTGATGATCTTCATTTGGATATCTTATAAACTCCAATTACTGATTTTTCTTCTAAACCTCTTTATCCTTCTAGCAGCCATATAAGAAATAAACTGTTTATTCACCTAAAGACCCTGTAATTTGAATGAGTCAATCAGCAAGTTCTATTGCTTCTACTTCAAAAAGACTTACAGATCTCTCCCTTTCTCTCCAAACGTTCACTGCCTTAGTCCAGCCAAAACAATCTCCTGCAATGAATTCCTCAAGGATTAGTCTCAAGTCTTGCACTATCCAAGGCCTTCATCAACTCCTATCATAGTGACTTTTCAAAAACCCAAATTCATTATGAGTTGTGCCCCATCAGCAAACGAAGGTCTCGTGGGCTTTTCTCCCATGGGCTTTATTCCATTCACGTCATCACTGTCAACTCTATTTTGAGGGGGCAGCTCTTCCCCAGTCGTATTTTGAGTGCCTTCCAACCTGAGGGGCTCATTTTCTGGCACTGTATCTGACAGCATTTCTCTGCTATTCATAAGGTTTTCAGTAACTAAATATTCAGAAGTAGTTTATCATTCCTTCTTCCTAGTCTGTCTTTGTCTGGAAGCTCATATGAAACCTGTTCATCATGGGTGACTCTTCTGGCATTTAAAATACTGGTGGCATCACTTTCAGAATCACAGCAACTCACAAGCCACCATAGTATGACAAACTGACAGACAGTGGTGGGCATCTGCTATAAGAGGACCTAAATATGAGTATCTTGAAGATTGATGTTGACAGTATGGCTGAGATTTCTTCCCAAGATAGAATGGTCCTGAATTATTACTGAGCTCTTTGGGAGAGGGTAGAAGAAGCCTGGATTCACTGTAATTAAAACCACATGTTGTGTTCCCTATTTTCACATATAATGCCAACAGCAAGTAACACATATACATATATAATGCTCATAGCACACATAGGAAACTAACCCACAAAATATTTGCTGGTTTAAACATATAACACATACATTATTTGCATAAAATATGGTATATGTTAAAGAGAGTGCCTGAATAGAAGTTAATGTCCACCACGTAGACCAGCATCGTCCTCTCTCATCCTTTTCCGTACAGTAGAGATAAGTTAACTCTGCATCTATCACTGGAGGATGGGGCAAAGCTTTTGTTGTGGTAGATTTTCATTTGTGTTTATAAATTTTAGATGGGGAATATGAAATCACTATTGCCAAATTAAAGAAATAAATTTATATCTAATGAGAAGCTGTTAAAATTTCTTGGTAAAGAGGGATGATTACCCATCATGCCTCTCCAGTGTGTGCCCAGACCTAAGATCTTCTATGGAAGGAAGGAAATACAGACATACTAGGTCATATAAGATGGTTTTGAATTATATAACTAGTTTATGTAATTGTGATCTGGAAATTCAGATATTAGGCCTAGACAGTGAAACTTAATGAAACACTTTTATGGTAATAATAAATGCTCTCAAATGCTAAAATCGATTGGTCAACATTTACCCCAACTTCAAAGAGTGTGTCAAATTCAAAGGCAGCGATTGTAGGTCCTGCAGTTCTTATATTTTACTGAATAGGCTGCTGGCACCATTAGATTTTATGTGAGCCTCTGCTGGGAATGAGGAAGGCAGTGAGCCATGAAGAACATTTTGGTTTGGTAGTAAAATAAAGTGGGAGTGATCTTACTCAATCCCTAGTCATCATTCCCACAATCTCTGTGCCAAACCGCCTTTGTGGTCTGTCTCATTTCTGTAACTCCCATGGTTTGTGAAATGAAGCACACAATTTCCTTTGGTTGGAAGAAGGTATGCTAAAAATTTTTTTCTTTTATTAAAGCAGTAATTACAATTGCTTCAGTTGGCTTCTACATTCATTGTCCCAGTCATTCGTATCTCACTATGAATAGATGCAGCACTTGGCTCTCCCACTGTAACACGTGCCTTCAATTCTGCTAAAGAGTGGGCAATGGGAAAAGTTACAGGTTCCTCCTTTGCTGACACATTTGTATTGATCAGACCTCTGGCCAGCACCTGTAAGAAGGAAAAGAAAATATTTAGACTCATGACAGTAGTCACATCAATTTTAAAGCATTTGATTAAAGCAGGACAGACAATGTTTTTGCAAAGTTGTTTAGAGAAATTTTTCTTCCACAAAACCTGTACTTAAATGGTCTTTGGGCCTGCTAATAAGGTATCTGAAGATCTTACTCAATTTAAGGACTGTATCGACTTGGCCAAATAAAACCTAAAGATAAAAGGCAGAGTTCTGAGTTGGGGATTAATCTACCAATGTATACAAGGCATTCAAGTATTCCATGAATAAAACATGTATTACATCTTACCATCCCCCAAACTCACAACCACTATTTCCATAAGCATACCCTAAATTCCTCTCACTCCAATGTCTTTGATTATACTTTATTCACTGTGTCTTGATTCTCTGTTGTCCTACCTTCCTCATCACATTTCCCTTGAAATCTACCACCATTAATGTTTAATGACATCATTGGTAACTATAGAAGACTTTTATAGTTTAATCCAGTTGGAATTTATCTTGTCTCCCAGCATCACAGATCTTATAATTATAATGTACTCTAGACTAGTTTCCTACTTCATGCAACAGAGTACAAAATCTCTGAATAATATTCCTTTTAAGTGGCCATGAAACCATTGTTTTGCACACATTCAACGACAGGGTTTCACCATGTTTGTTATTAAGTGCCACATAGTCTGTTTTGACTCATCGAGACCCTATATAGGGTTTCCAAGGAGTGGCTGGTAGTTTTGAACCACTGACCAGTCCAGTGCTTATCTAACAGTGCCACACTAGGTCACCACACAGTAGATAGCGAATTCTAATAACAGATGTCTTTGTTGGGAACTTGGTTTTCACACTGATTGAAATTGGCCTTTCAGTAGTTTCCATCCAGTTACTTTTTTCTCTGTACTTTAGTTAAGTCTAATCTTTTAGAAGGCAACCCTACTTTTACTAATTATATATAATTTAAAGTCTTCTCTTTCTCATTTCTTTCTCCATCTATTTTCTAGACCCGTCAGGATCATGTTTATTCTCTTCTAGATTTGTTCAAGTTTATCAAGGTTTCTTTTTTGAGTCTTGGTATCAACTACAAAGTACCTCAGATATGTCCTTTTACCAAGGGCAAAAGAGTACGTTTCTCCTGTTTTGTTCACTACAGAGGTATGTTGTCCAATATGGTAACAACTAGTTACATATAGCAGTTTACATTTAAGTTCATTGTAATTATGCTAACTACATATCACATGTTCAATAGTCATATGTGACTTTTTTTTTTTTTTTTTAAAGTGTCTTGTCGGTTCCAACTCATAGTGACCCTGTATAGAGTTTCCAAGAAGCAGCTGGTGGGCTTGAACTTCTGACCTTGCAGTTCAAACCAACCTTTCAGTCCAGTGCATTAACATGCAACACCACACCAGGACTTCCAAATGTGACTAGTGGCTACTGTATCAGGCAGCACAGATATAGAACAATTTCATCAATACAGAAAGTTCTACTGGTCTATGTTGCTATGGAGATAGAAATTTAGAGACACTCTGGTTCCACCATCCCACCCATCAGGGAAATATCTTGGATCAAGGTCACTTAGTTGCTCACACAAAACAGTCTTCCGATACTAAGCATTGTATTCTTTCTCTACATTTTATTGATTTCTATTAATATAAGGGAGTCCTGGTGTGGCGCTGTGCGTTAATGCACTGGACTGCAAAGTTGGTTTGAACTGCAAGATTGGCAGTTCAAGCTCACCAGCTGCTCCTTGGAAACCCTATTCAGGGTCATTATGAGTCAGAACCAACTCAAAGGCACTTACACAACAGCAACAACATTAATATAAGGGTCTCATCACAATGTCGATTTCAAATAAGTTCATGGCCAACTGGACTCTTCATTTCTAAGTTTTATTTCCTTTTGTTAAACACTGTCAGAGCTAGAGTGTGGTGCTATGGGCTAATGCATCAGACTGCAAAATCGACAGTTCAAGCTCACAAGCTGCTCCTTGGAAGCCCTATACAGGGTTGCTATGACTCGCAACCAACTTGACAGCACTTAAGAACAACAACATCAGAGCTGGAAATTTCCTTAGTTCAACTAAGGTCCAATATATATGGATGTTCCGGTAAAACTTGCCCTCTCTCGATCCTGTATTCAATTTATCATCTTCTGACCTTTGGATCTTGGGATGTGAGCCATCAACCTGCTGTCTGACCTGTTGATTTTTAGTTTGTCAGTCTCTGCAACCACATGAGTCAGAAACCTCTATTCTGATAGCCTGACTTACAAATTTGGACTTTCCAAGCACACAACTGCATGAACCATTTTCTTGAAATAAACCTCTCTCGTCGTAGTCTGCTAATGATTAAACATAATATATCCTTCCACTTCTCTCTTGGTGTGTGCCCAGAGTAGGTTCTGACTTATAGTGACTCTATATAGGGTTTCTGAGAAGCAGCTGTTGGGCTTGAACCTCCGAATTTGTGATTAGCAGTCCAATGCTTATCCTACAGCACCTCACTCTACTTCTATGTTTTATGCTTTATATAAAGAAATTTTGCACGTATTTTCTCAGATTTATTACTAGGCATTTGATATTTTGTACTATTCTATATGGTATTTTTGGTCTTCTGGTGTGGTGTTGTAAGATCTGCACTGGACTGCAAACCACAACATTGGCAGTTCAAACCCACTTTCAAGCAGCTCTTTGAAAACTCCATACAAGGTGACTTTGAGTAGGAATCGACTTGACAGCACTTAACAATGCAACAACATATGATATCTTTAATTTCATTTTTACTTTTGGTTGCTAATAGAAGTAAAATTGATTTTCCCTTTTCCTTTTTTGATATTGACTTTATCTATATATCCAGAAAACTTGCTAGAATCAGTTATTGACTTCTTTCTGACTTTTTATATATAATCATAATGTCTGTAAATAGTGACAGTTGATTTCTTCCTTTACAATTCTTATACCTGCTGGTTATTGGTTTTTATCTTACAGCTCTGAGTACAAAATTAAATGGAGATGCCAATAGAGAGTTCTCCTTGTCTTGTTGTCAGGCTCAAATAGAAAGCATTCAGTGTTTTAATATTTTGGTGTAGGTTTTATCAGATTAAGAAAGTTCCTTCCAATTCCTACTTTACTAAAAAAATTTTTAATCCCTACCTTTTGTATGGTAATAAAAATATACATAACAAAACATTTGCCACTTCAACATTATTTGCATGTACAATTCAGTGACATTAGTTAATTGTATTCATCCTGCATGTTGTGTAACCCATCACTATTATCTGTTTCCAAACTTTTCCATCACTCTTAACATAAATTCAGTGTCCTTTAAGTAAAGATACTCTTTCACTCCACTGAACCAACCCCATGGTACTTAACAACAATTCCTGTTAATCCCTAAGAAAACTTTGGTCTCTATACATTTACTAAATTCTAGGTATTTCATATATTGTTGATATTGTTGTTAGGTGTCATTGAGTCGATTCTGACCCATAACGACCCTGTACAGGGTTTCTGAGGAGCAATTGGTGAGTTTGAACTGCTGATATTGTGGTTCATACCAACTTTACAGCCCAGCACATTAACCCATAGCACCTTGTCCTTTGTGATTAATTTATTTAACTTTTGCTAAGGTTTTTTTTCCCATGAATCAATGCTGAAATTTTTCAAATGCGTATTCTACATTAATTGAGATGATAAAATGATTTTTCTTTTTTATGTGTATTGTTAATATGGAATCAATTGATTTTGAAATGTCAAATGAAACCTTGTAATGATGGAGCGGTGTCCTGGTGTGGCGCTGTATGATAAGCACTTAATTGCAAGTTTGGTTTGAACCACAAGGTTGATGGTTCAAACTCATCAGTTACTCCCTGAAAACTCTATAAGGGGTTGCTATGGGTTGGAACTGACCCCAAAGCACTTAAGAACAACAGCAACAATGATGGAGAAAGCTGGACTTCATTTTATCATGGTTGTAAAGTGCTGTAAAGTCAGTTCCTACTCATAGTGAACCTATATAGAGTTTCTGAGGCTGTGAATTTTTGCTAGGGCAAAAACCCTCTCATCTTTCTCCCATAGAATGTTGAATATTTTTGTTCCAAGGTTGTGTATATCTAACCATTAACCTCTATCTCCTTTAACCCTTGCATACCTCCTTGAGTCAACACCTCTTGAAGAAGTAGATGGGAGGGCTTGTTCTATTGGATTTCAAGACCAATTATAAAGTCACTTTAATTATAGCAGTATGGCAATGACACAAAGACAACAACTATACAAATGGAACAGAATAAAGAGTGCAGAAAGGTATCCATGTATATATTTGGGGGGGTTGTTGATGGAGAACAACAGTGGCTTAGTAGAGCAGTGGGGGAAAAATTGGCAATTGGATCTGGAACAATAGCATGTTCATATTGAAAAAATAAAAATCAAACTTGGCCCTAAATGATACCAAATCCACACTAAAATTCATTGCTAGATAGATTATTGTTGTTGTTAAGTGCTATTGAGTCGGTTCTGACTGAAAGCAACTCTATATAGTGTTTCCGAGGAGCTACTAGTGAATTTGTAATGCCTGGTGTGCTGCTGTGGGTTAATGCACCAGACTGCAAAGCTGTCTGAACTGTAAGGCTGGCGGTTCAAGTTCACCAGATGCTCCTTGGAAACCCTATCCAAGGTCGCTATGGGTCGAAACCGACCTTATGGCACTTACCAACAACAACAACCTTGCAGCTGGAGTCCTGGTGTGGTGCTGTGGGTTAATGAGCCAGATTGCAAAGCTGTTTGAACTGCAAGGTAGGTGGTTCAAGCTCACCAGCTTGAACCCTATTGCTACGGGTCAGAACTGACTCAATGGCACTTCACAATAACAACAACCTTGCAGTTGAAACTGACATTGTGGTCCAGTGCTTCTCTTACAGCACCACACCAGGACGCCACCAGATGGATTATAAGTCTTAAAATAAGAAGAAAAGCAGTAAGCTTCTAGAAAACAATGTTTGAGACTTTCTATATGCCT